AATACAAAATGTTCAACACGACCTGGCGTGAACCAGTCAGAGACTCAGTGGTGTACATTGGCTCCACCACCGGTACGTCCTACGACAACTACAAATGTTCTCCAGCCGAAGTGACATGGCACGTGGATCGAGAGTGCTGCATTCTGTCGGCGCAGAACATGGACCGTATGTGCGCAGACTTGTTGGAGTATGGCCGAAACATGGAGGGTGATGTGCAACCCGCACCATCTCGTCTTCTTGTTGCACCCTTTATCTCGGACACCAACGCCTCGTTCATTGCCAACTACACCTCGACATGAGTGGGGAGACAGTTTTGGTGGAAGTAACTCCAGCTGGCTGGATGATTGTGGTTTGAAGTTAGTGAGAGTTGCTGCGCCAATTGAAGGTTGAGCATAACTGAAAAGTGGGCCACAAGTTTTAGCATGTTTTACTACTGCCAGCCAGCAGGGGTGATTCCCAAAGCCTGTGGGGGCCCTTTGAGAAGACCTGGGTCAACAAAGTACCTGCTAAACAAAGAAAGTTAAATGGCGTACCGATGCATACTGTATTTGCTTAGACTTGCAGAGACTAACGTAACTTGATTCTCTTAGTGTTGTTGTTGGCTCTTCACAGTTCCCTTTGATGTCAGTGGGTACATCCGTCTGGTGGGGCTTTTCTGCGAAGTTTCCGAAGACACCCACGCAGACACAATGACTATAAAGCAGGTTGCCCCAGGCCAAACTTTGGTCCATAGCTCATGAAGCTCGGAATATCCTGCTGGATCAATGCCCCGTCACCAGATCTGCACGTTCCCCGTGGGCAAAGCTTGCGCATTGCAGCTGCGGAGGGTGTGATGTCATTGTGAGGCTATTCAAAATCAAACAAACATCTGAATCTAAACATATCCAAAAGATGCTGTCAGCTTGTAAAAAGCAACAGTTTCTGAGGGTTGGTAGCAGCGTGGCCTAGTCTGAGCAAGGGCTGAACTGCATTGTGTTGAGACATGTTGAGACTGCTGTGACCGCAGCTTTGAATGACGCCATTTTGCTTCTGGCGAGATGCATTGCGTCGGCTAGTGGCTCAGCAGCTCAGCAGGTAGGCCCTTTCGGGTTGTCAGATTCTCGGAGACTCGGCGTATCTCCGCATCACGTCATGGCGAGGGTTACGGTTCTCGTGGTTCTCATGATGCAGGCGCTTGCTGAGCAGAGCTGTCAAGAGGAGTCCCAGGAGGAAAGCTCCACTCTGATGCAGCTCAATCACCGAGACTTGGATCAAAGATCACTTAAGACATCTTAAGACTCAGGAGGTCTTCCCGCTTGGCTATATTTAGGAGATCTTAGGAGATCTGAAGAGATCTGAGACTCTGAGACGTTTTCTCTAGCTCTAGATGTACAGTGTGGGAGCCAGGGTCCCTTTCAGGCTAGTCTATCAAGAACGGAGTTTGTTCTAGCAGTTTTTGTCTTGTCCATTTTCCTTCATTTATATTTTTGCGGTCACTGCTTCTGTAGTTGATTTCTAGTTCTATTATTCCATTGTCCCTGTTCATGTTCAAATTCCAAATGTTGAGTTACTATGTTCATCATTTTAAACCACATGTTTTTTCCTTTGTGTGCCTGTAGTGGGAAAGGCTATAGTGCAGTTAAATTGTATGCCAACTTTGTTTTTCATGGATTATTTACTGATATTTTGTTTTGGCAGTTTAGAACACTTTGTATTTCTCATTTTTCTATTGTTGGCATTATTTCTTGGAACATGTTATATCGTTGAATCATAAATTCCAGCGTTCGTTCGGTAACTTTACTTTGCAACATACAGTTTTTGTGAATTCACTGGTGTTTCATCTACTCAACTTTCTTTTCGTTGGAATGCTTCTGGACATATATAATGCTAAACGATACTCTAAAATCTAATATATATTATATATAATATAATCGAAGGAAGTTTAGAAGTTAAACTTCCGACAATATGGACAGATGAAAAGCAGAGCAGGGAAGAGGCAGAGAGAAGAGAAAGATCAGAAGAAAGAAGATGCAGATGCGCGAAAAGGTAGGAAAGTCGCGAAACACTGTGTTTTTCCAATGATTTGTGGCTCCGGAGGGTCGAAAAGTAGGCCCGCTAAAGTGGCAGGTGCGGAGCCAGCTGGCCAGATGAGAAATGAAAAAATGCATTACAAAACACACCAGCTTCGGACCACTTTTGGAAGTTGCGATGTCGAAAAAGTGCACGCCGTTGTGGCGCGAAGCACATTTTGAAGTCAAAATGTACAAAGCACACCATGTTCGGACCACTTTTGGAAGTTGAGATGTCGAAAAAGTGTACGCCGTTGTGACGCGAAGCACATTTTGAAGTCAAAATGTACAAAACACACCAGGTTCGGACCACTTTTGGAAGTTGAGATGTCGAAAAAGCGTACGCCGTTGTGGCGCGAAGCACATTTTGAAGTCAAAATGTACAAAACACCAAATGTTCGAGCCACTTTTGGAGGTTCGGATGTTGAAAAAGTGCACGCCGTTGTGGCGCGAAGCACATTTCGAAGTCAAAATGTACAAAGCACCACATGTTCGGACCACTTTTGGAAGTTGAGATGTCGAAAAAGTGCACGCCGTTGTGGCGCGAAGCACATTTCCAAGTCAAAAGGGTTAAAAACTGGCGGTCTCGGACCACTTTTGGAAGTTGAGATGTCGAAAAAGTGCACGCCGTTGTGGCGCGAAGCACATTTCGAAGTCAAAATGCACAAAACACCACATGTTCGCGCCACTTTTGGAGGTTCGGATGTGGAAAAAGTGCACGCCGTTGTGGCGCGAAGCACATTTCCAAGTCAAATGTACAAAACACCTCAGTGTCGGACGGCTTTTGGAAGTTGCGATGTCGAAAAAGTGCACACCGTTGTGGCGTCAAAATGTACAAAACACTAGGGGTTCGGACCACTTTTGGAGGTTCAGATGTCGCTTCGCTTCAAGACACTACACTACAGGACATTACACTACACTACACTCCAGTACACTACATTACACTACATTACACTCCAGTACACTCCACTACACTAAATTACACTACACCACACTACATTACACTGAATGACACTGCAACACAGATAGACAGGTAGACAGCTAGACAGATAGACAGATGAAAGGGCGAGATAGATAGACAGGTAAGTAGGTAGATAGATAGATAGATAGATAGATAGGTAATTAGATGAAAGAGAGAGAGAGAGGCCAGCTGGGTAGATGAGATAGAAAGATAGATGGCTAGACAGATAGACAGAAAGACAGACAGACAGACAGACAGACAGATAGATAGATAGATAGATACATGGAGAGATAGATAGATACATAGAGAGATAGATAGATAGGCAGATAGATAGATAGATAGATGGATAGATAGATAGATAGAGATATAGATAGATAGATAGATAGATAGATAGAGATATAGATAGATAGATCGATAGATAGATAGATCGATAGATAGATAGATAGATCGATAGATAGATAGATCGATAGATAGATAGATAGATAGATAGGTAGACAGATAGATAGATACATAGATAGATGGACAGACAGACATGTAGATAAATAGATAGATGGACAGACAGGCAGATAGATAAATAGTCAGAGAGATAGCTAGAGAAATAGATGGCGAGATAGACAGATAGATACATAGACACATAGACAGATAGTTAGATACCAAGACAAATAGAGAAATAGATGGGTAGAGACATAGACAGATAGATAGACAGATAGACAGATAGACAGATAGACAGATAGACAGATAGAGAGAGAGAGAGAGATAGATATATATATATATAGAGAGAATTTGATCGATAGATAGACAGAGAGACAAATAGATAGAGAGACACATGCCAGCGTGTATGTCTTTTCTGACTGCACGATGATGCACTCGAGCATTTGTACTTCATTGCAAGCCCGGCCTCGTGTCTGTCTTTTCTGATGGTACGATGATGCCTGCTAGCACAGCGGCAGCCCAAGATTCTTGTCCGTTGCTGCTCGGAAAAAAACACACTGCGGCGACACCGTGAGGGAGACACGTCAGAGGGATGTGCTAGATTTCTTCATGTGTTTGTAGTCTGTTGTGTTAACACTGTAGGAGCTGTTGAAGTTTCAATTTAGGAATTTGAGGATCGTATCAGTACACGGTAGATGGATGGATGGATGGACAGGTAGACAGATAGACAGATAGATAGATAGATAGATCGATCGATAGATAGATAGATCGATAGATAGATAGATAGATAGATACATCGATAGATAGATACATGGAGAGATAGATAGACAGGTAGGTAGATAGATAGGCAGATAGATAGATAGATAGATCGATAGATAGATCGATAGATAGATCGATAGATAGATAGACAGATAGATACATAGATAGATACATAGATAGATAGATAGATAGATAGGTAATTAGATGAAAGAGAGAGAGATAGATAGATAGATCGATAGATAGATAGATCGATAGATAGATAGATACATAGAAAATAGATAGGTAGGTAGGTAGATAGTCAGAGAAAGAGAGAGAGAGAGTGAGAGAGATCGAGCCCGTTTCAATCCATCAGTGGCTTCGCTCTGCCATCCCTGATTCACAACAACCAACCTCTCCTATAGGTTTCCTATTTTTGAAACTTCCGCCACCGCCTTGTGCGGTACTACTGGTATACACTATGTATATTATACTTACTTACTCTTAAGTGGATGTTTCCCCATCTATTCACAATTTCCTTGTGTCAGATTTTAAGCCTTGAAACTTGGTTGCCAAGGAGAGATGACGGGTGATGAGCTCAATGAGTTGAACGAGGGTCTTCCATGGTGGGTCAAGAAGAAGATCATTGACTCACGTCGACAGAGTCACCCACCAGCTCCTCCTCCCCCGGCACCTCCACGCTATCCTTGCTCCATCGCAGAGCCGCAGTCGCCACGCAACGTGAGCAAAGATTTCGTGGGATTGTTGCCTCCGAAAGTGCAGCCCGTCGGTTCTTGGATGAAAGGCAACATTTTGTTTTGTCAAGAGCTCGTAATGTGATTAGACACATGGGAAGAACACCCAGTACCTAGATTTCAGTTCAACTGTTGTTCAACGCTGTTGTGAGTTGAAATCCATCGAATGTCTTGGAAGAGTTTGGAATCATTTCCGAGGTTTGTACGATGAGTTCCCCAATCTGATCCACGTGAACACGCACTTTCACTTGGGTGGTGAACACCAAAACGTGGATGAGGGGGGCTATTCCCTCAACTATACCGATGCCGGGCTTGCAGGGAATATCGTTCCGAATGACATCCGCCCAGGATATTTTTGCGCTCCAGTGAGCCAGGAACCAGAAATGGGTGACAACTGGACCTTGGCTGATTACAACTGGACATCTTGCAAAAATGTGAAGATGGGCTACACCTATGAGTTTCACTGGGTCCATTCCACGGCCGGGCCCATTGATGGGGTTTTGTCGGGCGGCTTGGGTGGTGTCTTCAATCGATCCATAAATCCAACGGCCTTTGTGCGAGGACAGATCTGTCGCATCGTGAACTGGCCAGAACAAGAATACAAGATGTTCAACACGACCTGGCGTGAACCAGTCAGAGACTCAGTGGTGTACATTGGCTCCACCACCGGTACGTCCTACGACAACTACAAATGTTCTCCAGCCGAAGTGACATGGCACGTGGATCGAGAGTGCTGCATTCTGTCGGCGCAGAACATGGACCGTATGTGCGCAGACTTGTTGGAGTATGGCCGAAACATGGGGGGTGATGTGCAACCCGCACCATCTCGTCTTCTTGTTGCACCCTTTATCTCGGACACCAACGCCTCGTTCATTGCCAACTACACCTCGACATGAGTGGGGAGACAGTTTTGGTGGAAGTAACTCCAGCTGGCTGGATGATTGTGGTTTGAAGTTAGTGAGAGTTGCTGCGCCAATTGAAGGTTGAGCATAACTGAAAAGTCGGCCACAAGTTTTAGCATGTTTTACTACTGCCAGCCAGCAGGGGTGATTCCTAAAGCCTGTGGGGGCCCTTTGAGAAGACCTGGGTCAACAAAGTACCTGCTAAACAAAGAAAGTTAAATGGCGTACCGATGCATACTGCATTTGCTTAGACTTGCAGAGACTAACGCAACTTGATTCTCTTAGTGTTGTTGTTGGCTCTTCACAGTTCCCTTTGATGTCAGTGGGTACATCCGTCTGGTGGGGCTTTTTGGCGAAGTTTCCGAAGACACCCACGCAGACACAATGACTATAAACCAGGTTGCCCCAGGCCAAACTTTGGTCGGGCCTTGTCACAAGAGATGAGGTCTGCGGATTAGTTTGACGTTTTGAGGCTAGCCATCTTGGCCAGTTCTCAATTCAAATAGGAAAATTCAATCAGGATGGCCATTTCTGTTTGTGGCTCATAGCTCATGAAGCTTGGAATATACCGTCAAAGCAGCCCGGAAGTACCGGAGCATCCTCCTGTTTCTTCTCCGTCACTTTGCTTCACTCGCGTAGCTTCTTTGTATAATTTTGGACTTTGCTCAAGGAGTGTTGAAGGTGTATGCATCTCAAAGAAGCGTGTTGTACATCAAGAAATAGCAAGTATAGAATATATTAAATGCATTTAAATTAAATGCATTTACATGCAATCAAATGGATCAAAGACCAATTCCGCGTTTTCCAAACTTGGGTCCATTTCCTCTTCTTTTCAACAACGAGGCAATCTGACTTTTGTCACAACTCATCCTTTGCCTCACAGACTGATCCTCCAGATGTAATTCAGAATGGCAGAATGGAGTTGTTGGTTGACTTGAGGGTGCTTCGGTGGCCGGCTGTTGCACCTTTGACGAAGGCACTGGTTTCCCGCTTCTCTGGGAACATAATGTGCCCCCACAGAAAGGGGGAGAATCTTGGAACCTTGGATTCCTTTCGACACTGGATCGGTTGCATGCAAGCAGAAAAAGATGCAAGACAAATAACTCAGCTGGAGGTACACGTTATATCGTCACAAACTAAACCGGGCCTTTTGATCGGATTGTGCATGCTGTGTAGGGCGAAATAAGTTGCAATTCCAATCAATCCTATCTAGATAATGTCATTACGAGGCTACTCAAAACCAAACAAACACCTAAAAATATCCAAAAAAAGCTGTGAGCTTGTGAAAAGCAGCGGCTTCTGAGGGTCGGTAGCAGTGTGAACTGCATTGTGTTGAGACTGCTGTGACTGCAGCTTTGAATGACGCCATTTTGCTTCTTGCGAGATGCATTGCGTCAGCTAGTGGCTCAGCAGCTCAGCAGGTAGGCCCTTTCGGGTTGTCAGATTCTCGGAGACTCGGCATATCTCGGCATCACGTCATGGCGAGGGTTACGGTTCTCGTGGTTCTCATGATGCAGGCGCTTGCAGAGCAGAGCTGTCAAGAGGAGTCCCAGGAAGAAAGCTCCACTCTGATGCAGCTCAATCACCGAGACTTGGATCAACGATCACTTAAGACATCTTGAGACTCAGGAGGTCTTCCCGCTTGGCTATATTTAGGAGATCTTAGG